GATGTAACCATAAACCGATGTAACCATAAACCGATGTAACCATCGGTTAACACTCCCCCTCAAGTTGGTGCACGGAGGTTTCGAACAGCTAACTTGGACAGCAGATACTGAAACACAAGCGCCCCCAAAGCCTTAGTCATGATGTCTGCTAGTTTCTTCGTCGTACTCACATGCCGTGTCACAATACTCTTGTCTTGAACCACATCTCTAACACTGTGACAGTCAGCCTCGATGTGTTTCGTTCGCTCATGGAACACATGGTTGGCTGCGATATACAATGCTGACTTGCTGTCACAGAACATCTCCATAGGTGCAGAATGTTCAACCCCCAAATCTCTCAGAAGTCGCTTGAGCCACTTAAGCTCACGTAGTGCCACCGCCATGGACCTATACTCTGCTTCAGCTGAGGAGTGAGAGACCGTATCATGTTTCTTTGTCTTCCAGGAGATAGGAGAGTTACCTAACAGCATGATGAAAGAGGACAGAGAGCGTCGAGACTTTGGGCAAGCCGCCCAATCTGCATCACAGAACACACGAAGATGCAGATCACTTACAGCTCTCAGCATAATGCCTTGTCCAGAACACCCATTTAGATACGGCATTTCTCGAACTATTGCATCCCAGTGGGCTTATCATGGATGTTGCATCACCTGTGAGAGTACGTGTACTGTATAACTCAACTATGGCCTCGTAATGGTAAGATAAACAAGTTTACCGACGAACCGTCAAAACCGCTCTGGATTCTTATAAAATGGTCCCTTGTCTGACAGAAGCCTATGGTTTTGTTCCATTGGCATCGACACGGGTTTACATTCAAGCAAGCCTGCCTCAGCCACAATGTATAAAGCATACTTCCTCTGAGTCAAGAACATCCCTTGTAGTCCTCTTGCGATCTCAATAGCAAGAAAATATTTAGCTTTTCTCAAGTCTTTCATCTTGATGCAATTGCTTAAGTACTCTTTGAACTTTACTACCATCTTCAAGTCATTGCCGGAAATGATTAAGTCGTCCACATAAACTAGAAATCTCAGCGATTTGTCACCCTTGATGTCAGTGAAGAGTGAGTAGTCAGAGTAAGACTGCTTAAAACCAAACTTCTTCAATGCACTCATCAGCTTCGTGAACCAGCATCGCGGATCCTATTTCAGTCCATAGAGTGACTTTCTCAGGTGACACACCTTCCCTTCTCCAGCCGTCTGAAACCCAGGAGGCATTTTCATGTACACTTCCTCCTCCAAGTCTCCGTGCAAGAATGCGTTGTGTACGTCCATCTGGTGAACTTACCAGTTCTTGGCAACCGCAACTTCCAACAATGTTCTCACTGTAGGTAACTTTGCCACCGGCGCAAATGTCTCGTCATAATCTTCTCCTTCTACTTATCTGTTTCCACACACCACTAGTCTTGCTTTGGGTATTTCCACTGTTCCATCAGCATTGAACTTGTACTTATAGATCCACATACATGCCAGCGCTTGCTTTCCTTTAGGCAAGCTCGTCACATCTCATGTCCTTTGTTCTTCAAGAGCCACTACTTATGTTGCCATCGCTTCTCTAAACCGTGGGTCTAACATAGCTTCTTTGAAATACCGCGGCTCTTTCTCTGAAGATATAGCTGCAAGGAACACTTGATGTTTCTCAGAGAACACTGCATCGGTGACATAAGCAGAAATGGGATAAGACGACGTACCTTGGACCGTTGAGGACCTTGATGGAGCGGTTGATGGTGGAACGAGAGTGGTGTTTTTTTTATCAAGACACTGAGCGTTGTAAGTAACATAATCTTTGAGCTTGACAGAGGGCTTTGAGATGCGATGTCCTCTCCCTAGCTGCTCCTCTTGCGCAATCATATTACTCTCAACTCATCAACCGGTGTCACAACATCTGTCTCAGTCACTGATTCCCCAGAAGTTGCAACCTCTTCATCGCTCCTTCCTAACTCCTCAACCGGAAGATCTTCATCACTCCCCCTCAGCTCCATAACCGGGAGCTCGTAGACTGACGAAGTTGAGTCGTTTTCCTCTGTCTCGAAAGGAAATGAACACTCATTAAACACTACATCACGCGATGTAAAGAACTCATGACTCTCCAAGTCATACAGTCTCCAGCCTCGTTTCCCAAATGGATATCCCACGAAGACGCACTTTCTGCTTCTCTCTTCAAATTTGTCTTTGTCACGAGAATTCTTATGAGCAAAACACAGGCACCCAAAGACTTTGATATCGTCATACGATGCAGCCTTGCCATACAGGCACTCGTACGGTGTTTTTCCATGTGGCAAGCTAGATGGCGTTCTGTTGATTACATGTGCTTCTGGCACTCTCCCCAAAATTTGATGGAAAGGCTGGCTTGAAACATCAGTGATCTCGAGACATTCAGTATGTGACGGTGTTTACGTTCGACCCTACCATTCTGCTGCGGAATAGACACACACGACATTTGGTGGACAATGCCGTTGTCCGAGAAGTACTTCGACAGACACATGAACTCAGTCTCATTATCACTCCTAACCTTTTGAACCGAGTTCCCAAACTATCTCTCAACGAAGGCGCATAAGTTTGGTAAGATCGTCTTAACCTCTGATTTCTCAAGAAGTATATGTATCTAGACAGCTCTGGAGAGGTCGTCAACGATCGTAAGGAAGTACACAGCACCGCATGAAGATGTCACTCTGTAAGGACCCCAAAGATCAACATGTATTAATTCAAATGAAACGGAAGCTTTATTGAAACTTTCAGAAAATACACCACGAGTTTGTTTGGACTTGAAACAGATGTCACATCCACCAAATTTCTCCTTATTGTCTAAAAAACCAGAAAGAAAAGGTAAATGTCCTAAAACACCAAAGACAGGATGTCCCAATCTTCGATGCCACAAAGTCTTGTCTTCACCCGACTTAACTCTAAGACCTCGCGCCAAAGTAACATCCCGATAAATATAAACTCCACCTCGTTCTTCACCGGCTCCAATCAGGGTCCTCGTAAAACGGTCCTACAACATACAAAGAGTGTCAGTGAACACAGCCAAACAACCCGTCTGCTTGAGGAGTTTAGCAACCGACATCAACGTGCAGTTCAAGTTAGAAACAAACAAAACATTTCTCAAAGTGAGCTTGTCTGATAGACGTAATAAACCGCTCTTGGATGCCTTTACTTGGCTACCATCAGCGAAACTAACAGGGAAATAGACTATGTCCACTGTATCGGTGAGCAAACCCAGATCACCGGTCATATGGTGAGATGCTCTGGTGTCTAGAATCACCTCACCCGTTTGACGCTTACCATTCATTTTGTCTGGAATAGGTGCCGGTTTCTGCTGCTCGAGAAGAGACATCAACGATGCCCACTGCTCTGGTGAAAGACCGGGAACTCCTGACCCTGTCGCGGCTTGGGCCACATTAGAGCGAGGCTGCTGACTGCGACCTCTTCCTCTTCTTTTGCCACAACCACCACCACCACGATCACTTCCTTGATTGCGCTCTGTCCACCAGTTCGGAAAGCCGACAATTTGCCAACAATCCTTCTTGTCATGACCAGATCTTCCACAGTGAGAGCAGACCACAGATCCTCCACGACTGCGAGCCACTGCTGCAATCAGACCACTCATCGTTATGTTTTCACCAACTTCGGTTTTTGACACATAGCTGACAGCACTGAGTCGAGATCGGGCAGAGGATCCATTCCGATGATGTGAGTGCACATGTTGCCAAAGCGCGCATCGTCAAGTCCCATCAGAAACGTACGCACCTTCTCTTCTTCATAATCTGCGATGATCTTCTCAGACGCATCACACGTACACTTAGGAAGTGGCTTGTAGTTGAGTAGCTCCTCCCACTTCTGTGAAACTCGACCAAAGTAGTCAATAATAGAGGAACCACCTTGCTTACATGCCGATAACTCTGATCTCAGTTGATGCACGCGTACTGCGTTACCCACCGAGAATCTCCTTTTCAGATCACACCACATCTTGTGCGCATCAGGCGTGAACGTCACGATATATCTGACCGCTGGTGAAATTGACGCCCTTATCCAGCCAACGATCAAAGAGTTCACCGTCTTACAAATCTCTGCCTCAACTCGCTCTTCAGTCTCGCTCGACATCTTCAGAATACCGTTAATGAAACCGATCTTGCACTTTGCACGAAGCACGTTCTCCAACTCTGATGACCACTCGCCATAGTTCTCTCATGTCAACGAGACGGGTGAGATGGATACACCTGGATTATCCGACGGATGAAGATTGTACGGTGACGTCGTACCAATGTTACTGCTAGCTACTTGCAGATTTCACGATTTCTTTAGACATGATTTTTTCCTCCTCAACGTTTCTTCCGATGGATATCTTTTTTAGAGAGGCTCTGATACCATGTAAACTAAGAATGTTTTTTTTTCTCAACGTTTCTTCCGATGGATATCTTTTTAGAGAGACTCTGATACCATGTAAACTAAGGAAGAAGAAGTTGAGAATGTTCTCAGTTGTATTCACGATGTGGAAACTACATATATACTTGTTACAATGAGATCACAACACATTAGATCTTCATTTATTGATATCTACTCATTAATATCACAATATTTACGATGTAACTTACTCCCCAAATCTCGATGTAACCATAAACCGATGTAACCGGACATACCGATGTAACCATAAACCGATGTAATCATTGGCTAACAACTATCATCGGATAACCATCGGCTAACAACTATCATCGGATAGTAAATCTGCCTTACGTTGATACAAATTAAATCAGCCTATCCTTTGGCTTTGGTAAGCAATTGTTCAAGCAATAACTAAAACGAAGAGATGAATAATAGAACAATCGAAAACTTTATCATTGCAAAAGTGAAACATCCCACACACCTTCAGCAACTAAACGGAGAAACCACAAAACCAAAGATTCAAACCAAAAAGAAAAGACTCCTTAAAAACCCCTAATGATCTCAAATATTATTCGCATATAAAAGAGAAAGAAAAACGAAACGATCCAATTCCAGATCCGAAACTTAGAACCCGTGGATCTTGATCTGATCCTTCTTAGCAATCCCAGTCTGAAACAAAAACTGAGAAACTTTCTTCCTCTGATCACCCTGAAGCTGAATGATCTTGCCTAGCCCCTTGTCCTCCACAACGTTCCCGTTGCAGCAAAAGTCTTTCTTAAGATCCTTGAGAATCTTCTCGTAGCTGTATTCTTTCTTCAGACCTTGAACCGTTGTCAAACTCTTTCTCCCATTCCTCTGCTGGATACGCACGTGGATGTACTCTTTTGTCCCTGGTGCATCTGTGTCTTGGGCTTCTACGAAAGGGTCGTATGCTAATGGAACCTGGATGTCTACCTCAACCATGTAAAACTTGGAAAGCTCTTTGGATTCCCCTCTGCACATAATTGGAAACAACAAGTAGTTAAAGATCATAAACAAGAAACCAAAGTCCATAATCTTCTTAGAAAAAAAAAGAAGTATGGACTCTATCAAACAATAAAAAAAAAAAAATCAAAAACAGAGCTAGATCAATTACAAGATCTTAGATTAAACTTGAGTCAAACCTAACAATCAAGGAAACCAATAGGATAGGATTATGAAGATAATCTAATAAAGCAACCGGATCCATAAGAAAAAAACTACGAAAGATTGGAAAAGGAAACCGTACCTGAAGATGTTGGGACGAAGACGATCGAATTAAGTGTTTGACTTTTGTGTTTTCAATTGATGAAGAAGAGACGAGATGATAGGTGTGTATTTATAGGACATTCCTTAGGAACCTTTGCTTTAAAAAGGCGGTTAGATCGTAGCCGTAGATCTATCGATTAACTTTATGACACGTGTATGGATAAGTGCTATTCGGTGACCTAGTTGGATGGTTCACGTTAAGAATAATTATCCTTCGGCTTACAATAAACGCGCAAGTCTCTCAGATTCCTGGGGCCCAATAAGAGCGTTCATTTGATAAGACAAAACGGTAGCGTGTAATAAAAGCAATAAGTATGAAACCTTCTTTTCTCAACAATTTGCTAGAAGATTCGCGAGGACAGACAATGTAACTTGAAGAAACTCAAATTCGATACATGCATGTGTGGTTGTTGTTTGACGGACGAAAGAAAAGAGGAACCGTACATCTTTATTGATCAAAGCTTACTTGTTGCTCAAACTTCGGATGATGTATGGAAGCATACCGCCATGATCATAGTACGCCAGTTCCAACTAATCATTCCCATAAACCAACCTCACGTTAGAGACCTTTTTAAAAATATGCTGACAATAATTATTATAGTCAAACCACGTTCCAAATAGTGTGTTACTACCTTGGAATCTAACCGCAAAGTACATGTAAAAGATTTGCCAGTATCCGTAGTCACCGTTATGTCTTGACTCGGTTTTATCTCATTGACCTTGCTAGGAAGATGGATTGTGTAGCGTTCATGACCAGTTAATCCAAGGGTTTCTGCATCCTCACCAGGCTTAAAACACAGAGGAACAATCCCAATACTAGCCAAGTTGCTGCGGTGGACTCTATCGAAGCTTTTGGCAATAATAGCTTTCACTCCCTAATTAATAATGTTAAGATCTCAAGGTTACGTGATGGTAGATATAGTCAAGAGCTAAACAAGCCTTTTAGATGAATGATATTGCTATCAGTATATCATGCATGCTTACCAGAAGCTTTGGACCCTTTACAGCCCAATCCCGACAGTAACCACTTCCATACTCTGCACCAGCTAGTATGATCGTATCCTGTCCAGCGGTTTTGTATCTCTGCAGATATGTTCAAATGAAACCCTAACTCATGGCTTTATGGTTTTGAAATTTGTAAGAGAATTGTACTCACAGTAGCGGCATCAAAAACACAAAGTTTCTCCCCCGTAGGAATGTGAACTGTCTTGGGGCCAATTTCTCCATTTAAGAGCTCGTTAACAATACTTGTATTGGAAAATGTACCACGTGTCATCACCTCATGGTTTCCTCGACGGCTTCCATATGAGTTGAAATCAGATACCTTGTCTTTTAGAAACTCTGCAGCAGGACTGTCTTTGTGGATGGTCCCTGCTGGTGAAATGTGGTCTGTGGTTATGTTGTCTCCAAATTTCAGTAAGCAATAAGCATCTTTCACTTCACGAGGGCCAGGTGGATTTAAGCCCATGTTCTTGAAATACGGAGGTTCATTGATGTATGTTGAGTTTGAATCCCAAGAATATGGTGTACAACTTGTTGCCACATAGTTCCTCTTTGTTATGGTCTCGTAAGTGCTCTTGGACAGGCTTTGTAACACACTGTTCTGAAGAGCCTATTCAAAATACCCAATAAACAAGTTCACAAAGAAGTTACAGAAGTCCTCAAGAGAGTTCAAAAAACGTACCTCATTAACTTCTTCACTGCTTGGCCATATGTCACTTAAGTATACATTCTTTCCATCTTTGCCAGTTCCAATTGGTTCTGTCTCAAAATCGATGTTAACCGTTCCAGCAAGCGCGTATGCAACAACTAATGGGGGCGAAGCAAGATAGTTTGCTTTTGCATACGTATGAATACGCCTTCCAAAGTCTCTACTACTAGAGAGCACAGCAGCCGCAACAATATCTGTGAAAGTTGAGAAAGGGGTAATAGAAATCACTTAAGTTCAGCCATAATTCTTGTTTACAAGAAGAATTTTTAAAAAGGAAAGGGAGATGACTGTTGCGTTGATGTTCTAATACCAAATCTTATAAACAGTTTAACACAATGGGTAATAATGTAAGAGCAGATTATCGGTTGAGACACTGTTTGGTTCTTAAATTTTTTTGTTTTCTGATTTAAAAAAATAAATAAATTAAATATAAATCAATTCCAGACTGCCACATATTAGTGGGGTCCGCAAACAGTTAGCGACATTCCTTTGAACATTTCTTATTTAACGACATTTAGGCAAGGGTTTTGGAAAAAAGTGGTGTCCACGGGTAAGAACTCTCTTCCTACCCCCAATAATGTTACTCTAAGAGTTCTTTAAAGCTTTTGACTTCAGACGAAATTGGGCTTAATCCATTTAAACTTGTATATGGGTGTTAAATGGGTAGGCTCTCTATAAATGGTCATCTCCTAAACACAATGAATCTACCATGGACATTCCCATATACAAAACATCCCAAAGGGCTAAGCCTAATTTCTTCTACAGACAAAAGCGGTCGTTTAAACCATGGTCATTAGCCAGCCAAAATTACTTAAAAATTAGGTCAAAGTCGATTTAGTAAAAAGTTATTGATATTCATACTAAAAATGCTTACTTAAATATGACTATGAATCTTATAGGACGGTTAAGAATAGTGAAGTTAGACGTGTATTTTCATAGGGTGGTAGAATTGTCGTCTATTTAATATTTTTCATCATTGTAATGGTATAATAAATCAGACGTTAAAACAATATGACCATGGAGTCATGGATTATCTATTTAGACATGGAGGATCCATTTAACCATCCTAATTTATTATGTAGACTCCTTGACCAGTCAAGTTGGTCATGATCCTATTTAATTTTGGTCATATCTAAGCATGTCTTGGACAATCAATGTCCGGTAAAAGAAAATGTGCAGTTGGACGAGTTCTAAGAACATCTCATTTGACACCCCACTATGTATGCGCATGAAGGGTTAGAGATTTCTTTTTGGTTAATTGTAAAGGAAAGAGCGCTACCATTTTCTGAAATAGCAGATGCAGTTGACTCATCAAGATCACCAGTTCCCCAAATGGACGTTGTGAAGCCCTGGCGGAGAAATTGGAATCCTTGTTTGTCCAAGTACTCTTGCAGCCCACTGAAGAGAAATGTAAAAAGTAGGTTAAGAAAGAGACATCATAAATCTCTTATACCGTTTGAAATGGAAAATTAACTGCCTCCAAACAAACCTTTGAAGCAGATACTCCTTGAAAAATCCATAACCAGGAGAAAAACTTGTCCTAACCCATGGTTTAACCTGAACAGCAATGTCAAAACATGAATTATAACCCAAGTCAGGTGACAAAACTCTCTATAGCAGAATGAGAAACTCACTTTCAAGCCAATGTTATAAGCCTTTTTAGCAACAAGTGCAACCTCAACCATGTCACTAGGACTTGTTTTGGTATTACCACTCGTAATGGTCGCAATAACAACACTTCCATGTTTAACCTCAGCTGGTTGTCCCATGAACGAAAACTTGGCATTTTTTTCTTGTTCTTCTTTCGGGATTGCAAACCCCTTTCAGTAATCAAGTCATAAAGATCTTCCTTATGAAAAATATTTACATTCGTTGGTTCTTTAAAGCAAAACATACTTGCATCTTCTCACCTTGAACCCTGGAGGATTGTCAAGACATGCCTTCCAGTCAGCCTTCATGTCTTTCAAAAGAACTCGGTCGTGAATCCTGTTGAGTAGAACACAGAAAGAAACTCAAAAGGAAACATGGTTGTTTAAGTTAGATGATGACTTATATAAGTGAAAGTATATATGTATACCGTTTTGGACCATAAACACATGGCTCAACATCTCCCAAATTCAGCTGTAAACAAGATGTGTATGCTATTTCTTCTTGCGGCTGCAAAGGCCAGCCCATTGGGGGTTGAAACTTTTGACAAAAAAATAATAATAGTTCAATTACAGTGAAATGACAAGGTCTGTTCTTACCTCATTGTAGTCAATAAACATCTTGTTTGCGCGCAAGTATGATTCGATCGCTGCAACCTAAAACAAGCACACAAGACAAATGAATATAGAACGTTAGAATGAATAAGAAAAAAAAAAAAAATAAGAAACTTAGTGGTAAGAAATTTCAAGAACATAGTGAAACTACACTGATTAACTAAAAGATAAACATAAACTCTCACAGTTTCATCGCTTCTTCCCTTCAACTTCAGGTACTCCAGTGCGACATGGTCAACAGGGAAGAAACCCATTATTGCCTCATATTCTGGGGATAACATTGCAATTTTGGCTCTACCATCTACTGATAGTTCACTCATTGCCTCTCCTTCATATACAAAAAGACAAATAATGTACACAGGAAACTGAATTGCACTCTCCAAGACTTAATTACATAATAAACCATTACTCTCACCGTAAAACTCAACAAAATTGCCAAAAACACCATGATTCCTTAGCATTTGAGTCACGGTTCGAACCAAATCAGTAAGCGAAACTCCAACCCTCATTTTCCCAACCAACTTAAATCCAACCACATTAGGTAGCACCACGCTGATTGGCTGTCAGTTATTACCAAATCAGAGGCAGATTACAAATTTACAATATGAACTTTTGACACAAATGTACACACCTGACCAAGTATTGCTGCTTCTGCCTCAAGTCCTCCCACTTCCCACCCAGCAACTCCTAAAGCTGTGTTGGAATATGCACCAACAACACTGTCAGGGTACAAATATCCATCTGAGTTACAAACGACACTGCAGAGATACTCCAAGTCTACCTGCAGGTTGAAAAAGAAAATATCATTATAAAATGCATACTAACAATATAAGAAACTTAGATTATAACAACGGAAGCATCATTCACGTACCTGATGAACAGTACTAGACACGGGAGAAGCGATCAGCATGTTGTAAAAGGCTGATGAAGCCCACTTAAGGAACATAAACCTTTCCCAGTTTTTGTCAGATTCTAGTTGCATACCTTTTCGCCAAGTTTCTGGTTTTTCCCCATATACTTGGTCCGAGTGATCAAACACAAGATCAACAGGAACCTGTAGGAAGAAATGAAGTAGAAAATTATGGATAATAACATATTGGAAACTGCTTTAGATTCGGCACATCATAGATCAAAAAGGAAGCAGTTAACTAACCTGTGGATTAATCTTGTTAGGATCATGACCAAGACTCTTCATGGCATCCCTCATAGCAGCAAGATCAACTATAACTGGCAATCCAGTGAAATCCTAACCATAAAAATGTACTATCACATAACGTAAATGGTAAAAGTTATCAAATACAAAAGAAAAGAAAAGAGAGACAGGGTACCCGTAGCATAACACGGGCAGGTTTGAAGGGAATCTCAACTTTCTTACGAGATGTATTCTCCCAATCCATTATATTCCCAATATTATCCTTCGTAATGTGAAAGTTGTCACAATTACGAATAGCTGATTCCAGTAGTATCCGAACAGAAAATGGTAACCTATCTGCAACATATTACGAAACATGTGTTATATATTACCGACATAAGTATGACAAAGAAGAGATTAGAGGTAACAAGAAAAGCTTCTTACCGATTCTTGGATCGTTTAAAGCTGGTAAAGAGTAGAACTTCCCATAGTTTCCACCATCAGGCTTGTGAAGCGTTGTTATGATATCCTTGTAGGCATGTTGAGAAGCTACTTTTTCATAACAAAACTGTTAGATTAGAAAATGATACAGAAGTAATCATACTATGAACATCATCACATGAGTTAGCTCCTAGTTTTTTTTTTATTTTCAGAACAAATAAAAATCGAGAATAGTTCAGCCACATTGAAATGAACTACTGTATTCCCAAAACTTAAAATAAAACAAGATTAGTAAACAAGGATTCTTGTGTCGCAAGCTAAAGAAACGGATATGTAAACAAAGACAAACCACCAAGTAATACCAATGGTAGCGAATTTCCGTTTAAATTTCTGTAACACCAAAGCAGCAATTCTGGTTTGAGCTCGGAGGCTCGCAGGCGACCGCCAACTAGTGCCATGACTCCACCGCATGGTGGCAGAGCACACTGGAAGCAAGCAGAAAGCCGAGGCAGAGGAGATCTTCGACAGGGAAGAAGAAGCAACTTGCACGCCCTAAGAGGCACACCTAAACATGGCGTAAAATCAAAACGACATAGGTGATCAGACAACTCCAAAAGGTGGAGGAGCACAAGAAGGATGAATGGAAACCCTAAAACATGGTTGAAGGAAGTTAGAATCAGAGAGAGAGAAAGTCAACAAAGCTTTTGTTAATTGTCTACCAAGTAGAGGCCACGTCTGGGTGTTACTCGTGAACTGTTGGATGGACTCAGAACGGACGGTTGGTGATTCCTCTTTGACCGCTGACAAATGAATCCAAGCGGGATCAACGGACCTTTACAGGAGGTGACATTCAAACTAACTAATGACTGTATAGAAGATTATTTCCCTATTCAAAATCAACTTTTGCATTTTACGGATCAGACCATTACACGAAGATCAAATCTCTGAGGAATGGTGAAAAAAGATGAAGATTTGGAGGATACAAACATTATATTTATTTTTTGCACTCAAGAGTTTTATCCTCAAGGAGACCCACGCTATTCTTTTCCATCCACATGGTCCAGATGAAAAAGGATACAAACTACTTTTTCAGAAAGCAACAAAGTAACATATGAGATGAGGACATCTCTGAACTCTACTGAGGATTTGGAGGACGACTGTTTGCAGCAGAGACTCTAGATCCCCACTCCAAAAGCTCCTTGCTTGTATCATCTTTATGCACTATTACCTCAATGAAACAAAAGCTCTCCTTCTCCTCATTCGTTGCCGTGCTAATCGCCTTCACAAGCTCCTCCTCGCACCTCACTTTCGCAGTCCAGCATTTACCTTCTCCGTTATGAATAGCCTCAACAAAAGCCGTGTAGTTCCAGTTCTTTATCACATTGTAAGGACCATCATGAATCTCCACTTCAATAGTATACCCTCCATTGTTGATGAGAAAGATTATAGTTTTCTGCCCACACCTTATCATCGTCGACACATCCTGTGCGGTAACCTGGAAACTACCGTCACCAATACAAGCAATAACACGTTTGTTAGGTGTGGCTTGAGCATAGCCTAGAGTAGCACCAACAGACCAACCAATCGACCCATACTGCATTTGGAACTCGTAGCCACATCCTTCAGGGAGCTTCAGCTTCTGACAATTGAACCAAGAATCCCCTGTCTCAGCAATCACAGCTGTTTCAGAACACAGCAGGTTCTGAATGTGTTGAAACAGCACATTAACCCTCAAAGGCTCCTTGGGATTCTCTCTCAGAGGCTTCCCTTCAGGGACATAGATCCGATGGTAATTCTCATAAGCAGTGTTGTTACGCTTGATCCGTTTCGCTAAACCGCTAAGAAAATCCTTCATCAACACACACCCAAAAGCAGGTCCGTTACCGATGGTAACCCGATCCGGCTGCACGATGATAGCCTTCTCCTTCTTGAGAAGCAGAGAGTACCCAACAGAGCTGTAATCATTAAAAATAGGACCTGCAAACAGATAGGCATCAGCAGACTCAACAATCTCAGCGCAAAACGCAGTACTCACAGCTCCCCAATACGTCCCTATAAAATGCTCATGATGCTCAGGGACTTGCCCTTTAGCAGCTGGCATCACAGCAACACCATACCCAGAAGCATCAGCAAGCTCAACAAAAGCTTCATTAGCCTTGGCAACACGTATCTTCGACCCACCAACGAGAACCGGCTTCACAGCCTTGTTCAAGAACTCAGCAGCTGCCTCCACCGCCGCGTCCAAACCAATCTTATTACTCACTTTAGGCACAAGCGAGAACGGAACAGGATGACGACTAAACGTAGGAAGAGGAATCGCAGGTAAATTGCAGCTGATACTAATGTAAACAGGTTTGCTCTCTTTCAAAGCAGTAGAAATCGCAGTATCAATAAGCTCGTGCGCCTCTTCTAAGTTATTAATCACAGCTTGATAGCACGTGACCGCTTGAAAACACCTAAGCTCTTGAGTGAAATCAGGTAAACCGATGGTATGGTGAAGAATCCGGTTCGTACCGTAATCGTTCGAGTTCGGTCCACCGACGATGCAGATCAGAGGGAGATTCTCGCTGTACGCACCCGCGATCGCGTTCAGGACGCTTAATCCTCCGACTGTGAAGGTGACGACGCAGGCTCCTACGCCGCGGGATCTGGCGTAACCGTCGGCGGCGTATCCGGCGTTGAGCTCGTTGCAGCAGCCGATTAGCTTGAGGCTTGGCTCGGCGATGAGGTGGTCGAGGAGCGTTAGGTTGAAGTCTCCCGGGACGGAGAAGACGTCGGTGACGCCGATCTCGACGAGGCGTCGAGCTAGGTAACGGCCGAGAGTTGCGTCGCAGGGGTTGGTGGTGGTGGAGTGGGGAGGAGTTGAGGTTTGGACGGTTGAGACGGTGCCGTTTGGTGGACGGCAGATGTCGCCGGTGGTTGGGTTGCACGTGTCGATTGATCCGATCACAGTGTCCATTGTAGTTGATTGTTTTTTTTTTTTTGGAATCGAAGTTGGGAAGAAGAAGTGAAAGTGTGAGTATTTTTCCTGAGAAGATTAGTGGAATATAAAGGAGACTGAAACCGCCATTAGAGACGTAAAACAACGGTGGCAAAAACTGATTAAACAACGGTGGAATAGAGAGCGGTTTAATCTCAGCCGCAGATTTATCTGTAGGTATCAATGACGACACGTGTATAAATCTAACTAGATCGTGGGGGGCAAGGTATGAAGATTCACGGGTGGACTAGTTAGGTGTGAGAAGCAGCGAATAACTACTATCATGCGCAAAGCTCATCCTTGGGCCCACGACAAAGAAAGATAAACAAACGGTCTACTAGAAAACTCGACGGTCAATGAAGAAGACACGTCGACGACCAAAAATTTGAATAGGAAGGAGGAATAAACATCCCGTACGATGAGGGTGACGTGTCAAAACCACGTAACTACCAAAAAAAATTCTTTCTTTCTCTCTAACCGTCGATTTTCCCGCTTTTTTCTTCCACTACAAACTCAATCCTTCGGATCCTCAAGCTTCCATCTATTCGTACGCGCCGAGGCGAAGCAATGAAGTAAATTTCCAGATCTCCGTTGAGAAGGAACAACGAACTCCACCGCTACATGAAGATACCACATCTTCTGAAAAAGAACTATGGTCCTTTTAGTTACTAGCAGATCTGGCTTAAAAAAATATGTGAGCCCTGTACAATACAAATATTTTTTCACCTATGTTAATGAATAATGTTGAAAAATTAGGCGCTTAGTTTACAATAGTTTGAAAAAAATAAAAACCCTAAATTAGTAAGGTGATGTTTGTTTCTGGTTTTTGCTTTAGTTTTTGTTTTTTGTTTTTGTAAAAACCATTTTTTTATCCAATTAAGTTTTGGTTTTTAGTTTTTGTTTTTGTAAAAACCATTTGATTTGCCAATCAAGATTTTTTAAAAATGGATTCCTTACATTTTAGGGAAACTAGTTTTTCAATTTCAACCAATTTATGAAGAAAAACCAAAAACCAACTTTTGCGAGCTTTTAATAAAAAAAACGAATTTTATTTTATTTTTATAGAAAATAGTCAAATACAATTAAGAAGTAAATAAATAGTATTGCATAAAGAGAATTTTGCATACAAGTTTTTGTAGATAAGATATCATTTAAACAAAAATATAAAATAATTATTTGTGTGTTATATCTGTAAATAAATTTTGATATATATATATATATATATATATATATATATTAGTTGTTCACCATTAGTTATTAATACCTATACATAAAATTATTGAATAATTTTATTGAATAATTTTAAGAATTATTAGACACACTAAAAATTAGAAAAATATAAAAATGATTAATATTATATAAATTTTGAAAATAGCTAGGGCTGGGTGTTCGGGGTCCCAATCGGGTTTCGGTTCGGGTTCATTCAGGTTTCGGATTTTCGGGTTCATGAATTTCAGCCCCATTCGGATATTATAAAAATTCGGGTCGGATTCGGTTCTGGTTTAATCGGGTTCGGTTCGGATTTAGTAACATGTCCGAAATCTAGTTGAACCCGAAATAGTTTCGGTTTCAGATACTTATTGGGTTATCGATTCTAAAAATACTAATTTATACGCAATTAAATTCACTATATTTTCAATCTTTTTATTAAATTGTGTATTTAGCTTCTACAAACCGTATTGTTCTGCTTATAAATAATATTATGAAACTCATCTATCAACAATATAAGATTTGTCATTGAACTATATGTGACAACACGAAACATATCATGATTAATGATAAACCAAAGTCTTGTATGAACGAAAATCATACATAATGAAACATAAAAAGTTAAAGTTAACAACTAACAATTATTTAAACGTAAGAAGTAATATTAAAAATTAAAAAAACAACATTATTTAAACTTCAAAACAAATTTATTCGTAACTTAACTTCAAATGTAGTGTCAATCATAAACATTAATAACAGCCAAATAACACTATATATTAGACTAAATATTTGAGTTAATTATTTATATCATAACTAATTATTGTAGGTACTCAATAATATATTAATGTGTTTTGGAAACATATTAGAAATTTAGATTGAGTATGATATAAGTTTTTTTGGAATTTTAAAGTTTCGGGTTCTTTCGGATATCCATTTAAGTTCGGGTTCGGTTCGGATAAAACCAATAACCCAAAATACCGTAAAACAAGATCCATTCGGTATTTATGTCGGGTTCGGATCGGTTCGGAATCCTTTTTATCGGGTCGGGTTTTTCGGATTTTTGGGATTCGGTTTTTTTGCCCAGCCCTAAAAATAGCCATTCAAGTGTTAAAATAAATATATTATATATAAGAAATTATATAATTATTTCAAATTTTAAGCATTTTTTTATAATTCATAGATATTTTCTGATTTATATTTTAGTATGACACTTTAAACCATCGTTATTCTATTTTTAGATTTTGGTTTTAGATTTTAGTTTTTGGTTTTTAGTTTTTAAGTTTTTGGTTTTGGTTTCCAGCTTTTGGTTTTAGTTTTTAGTTTTTAGATTTAGATTTTGGTTTTTCTGTAGTTTTTAATTTTTCAAAAAATAATCAGTGCATTAATTAAAATAATAACACAAAACAGCAATAAAAAATTAGAAATTTCCAATCAATTTATAAAAATATAATAACGATGGGTTTAAAGTGTCATACTAAAATATAAATCATAAAATATCTATCAATTATAAAAAATGCTTACAATTTTAAAATAATTATATAATTTCTTATATATAATATATTTATTTTAACACTTGAATGGCTATTTTCAGAATTTATATAATATTAATCATTTTTATATTTTTACAATTTTTAGTGTGTCTAATAATTCTTAAAATTATTAAATAAAATTATTCAATAATTTTATGTATAGGTATTAATAACTAATGGTGAACAACTAATATATATATATCAAAATTTATTTACAGATATAACACACAAATAATTATTTTTAATTTTTGTTTAAATGATATCTTATCTACAAAAACTTGTATGCAATAATTCTCTTTATGCAATACTATTTATTTACTTATTAATTAAATAATTATAGTATTTGACTATTTTCTACAAAAAAGAAATAAAATTCGTTTTTTTAGTAAAAGCTCACAAAAGTTGGTTTTTGGTTTTTCTTCATAAATTGGTTGAAATTTTGAAAAACTAGTTTCCCTAAAATTTAGGGAATCCATTTTTAAAAAATCTTGATTGGCAAATCAAATGGTTTTTACAAAAACAAAAACTAAAAACCAAAACTTGATTGGATAAAAAATGGTTTTCACAAAAACAAAAACCAAAAACCAAAGCAAAAACCAGAAACAATCATCACCTAAAAACTAAAAACCAAAACCAAAAACTGAAAATCAAAATCGAAAACTTAAAAACTAAAAACCAAAAACTAAAATCTAAAACCAAAATCTAAAAACCAAAAACTAAAACCAAAAACTATTTCAAACAATCATCACCTAAAAAAATATTAGTGAAAATATGGAAATCTAGTATCCTCCCAAGACTACCCTAAAACCAGCACTGGTTACTAGAGGAAGAAATTAGCCGCTTCTAGATCCATCTCGTCCATAATGACGGTGGTAAACCTGAACAATCTTATAGACTAAGTGACTGAACCAAGTAGTGAGGTAATTGCTCATTGGAGTATTAAACTCAGTTTGTTTCTCCATTTTACTCTTTAGATTGTTTTCGTTCTTGTATCAAAATATTCAGTTTATCTTCTATAATACAAAGATTGAAGATTTTACCTTTTTTTTGCTGGTTTGATACTTCCCAATTTGGATTGGTTATCAATAGATCTAAGGTTGTGTGTTTTGTTATCATTCAGTTCAAACTCTTGTATGAAGATTCATTTGGGGAAAGAGATTCAACTTCTTTATGATTCATATTTATTTCTAGCTGCTTAGGATAATTAATCATTGCTTAAACAGCTTAATTATACAAAGATTATTGATAGGCCTATGAAGACTTGCACATATCCATCCATCTATCTTGTTAAGATTGTAATCAACATAAGCTATACTATCGCACTCATTCCTCTGCTTGTCTCATAGCATTGGAATCTTGATTGAAGTCAAAGCATCAATGACTGAGAAGAAGAGAAACTGTGTATTTCCCGAGAAAATTAGTGGAATATATTAGTAACGTAAAATACCGGTAGCAAAGAGTGATTAAACAACGGTGGAGTAGAGAAGATAAATCTCAGCCGCAGAAATATTATGAAGCTATTTAGAGAAGATACGTGTATATATTTAATCAGATCGTGGAGAACAAGTAAAGAAGATTCACGGGTGGACTAGTTAGGTATGAGAAGCAGACAATCATTACTTTCCCAATAAAACAACGGTTCGCTACAAAACCCCCAGGTGGCCAATGGTTTACTAGAAAACTCGACGGTCAAGGATCCGACTCGTTTTTTGGATTATAGTGAAGGGAAAGAAGACACGTCGGTGAGTAAAAATTTTAAAAAGAAAGGAGGAAAACGCCATCACGTAACTACCAAAAAAAAACTCCCGCGCTTCAAAGACTTTTCTAAACCCTAATTGACTCATCTTGCTCTAACCGCCAATTTTCCACCCATCTTCCTCCACTAGTACTTTTTCTTTTTTGGAACTCTCCTCCATTAATACTCAATCTTCGAGCATAAACCTCTATGTGCATCCTCAGATCCCATATATTAGTACGTGCCGAATCGAAACGATGAAGGATAGTTCTAGATCTCCGGCGAGAAGGAACGACGGATTAATCAATCCGGCATCTCCTTCTCAAACGATAGAGCGGGTACCACATTATTTGAGTTTACTTGCATCTTGTGATCGATACTCTCAAGGTAAAGCTTACACTTTTATTTTATGCAAAGAAATGAGGTTAGTTGAGAGAATATCATATAGTATTTATTAAGTTATTGGTTAGATGAATCTGGTTGCTAAGCTAGGATATCGCATAATG